TCTATTTTATTTAGAATCTTAGAGAAATTGTTTTGTTCTTGAGTACCCTTTGTTTTGCCACCTCCCCGTGTTGTTTTTTTTCTGTGGGGTAGTGTTAATGATTTAGGTTTTTCACTAGAAAGTTAAGGATTCTGATTTTATGCCATCCTTTTGCCACAGAGAATACAATTGCTAACTTTATGATGAAGTCAATTTGTTTGTGGAAAGGGTTTTCTGGGCAGGGATTGTGAGCGTGTTTGGCACCAATGGACAGTCTTATAAATGTGGGCTTGAAGGGGGATCTGAGGTATCAGGATAAGATCCCAATGTCGGTAGTGTGGTCATAAAGACAGGAAGCAGAATGATCGCACATAGATTAGTGTTTTAATAGCACAACATTTAATAATAATCTGCTGATTATTTTTCAGCCCATTATCTAATGGTGGCTTTCTAATATTTTGTGGCTCTCCTGATAGGACCTAATCTTTTCCTCTCTTAAAAGGTCTACATACTTAAAGAGATCCTATAGTGCCAGGAAAACATTCCCGTTTTCCTGGCACTATAGGCTCCTCGCACACACCCCCTCCTCGGGGCTGAAAGGGTTAAAACATCTTGAGTCACCTACCTGAATCCAGCACCGATGTCCCTCGGCGCAGAGTCAGGCTCCACCCACGCTCCTCCCCTGCAGTAGCCGCACGCGCATTAGACCTCCCCATAGGAAAGTATTATTCAATGCTATCCTATGGGGAAAATCTGACGCCGGAGGTGCGTGAGGACATCCAGCGTCAGATTTGGATTCCGGAAGCCCTCTACTGACTGTCTGGTAGACAGCCACTGAGAGCAGGCTTAGAGTTGAAATGTAAACTTTGCAGTTCTCTGGAAGTGCAATGTTTTACATTGCAGCACTAAGTGCAAAAGGGACACAGCACCCAGACCACTTCAATGAGCTGAAGTGGTCTGGGTGCCTACAGTGTCCCCTTAATGCCATATTGGATTATTCTAATTTCATGTTCTAATCTCTGACACTTGCATCTCTTTTATTTAAACAGGGATACATAAATTGCTTGTTACATGGTATATATTCCAGAGATTTAGATACAATATACCAACTACCTTTACCCTTAGAGATTTATTTGAAACATAATTTTAACTTTAAATATGCTGAATGTTTTTACAGATAACCTCTTAAATTCCATTCTTTTTTTAAGAGTATAAAAACACTTTGATTATTTCACTTTAGGTTTCACATCCCTTCTTGTGTGTCTATTTTGTCATTTTTGTGTGTTGGCTTTCATAAAGGACCACTCTAGGCACCCAGACCACTTCTGCTTAAAGGACCACTCTAGGCACCCAGACCACTTCAGCTTAATGAAGTGGTCTGGGTGCCAGGTCCAGCTAGGGTTAACCCATTTTTTCATAAACATAGCAGTTTCAGAGAAACTGCTATGTTTATGAATGGGTTAAGCCTTCCCCTATTCCCTCTAGTGGCTGTCTCATTGACAGCCACTAGAGGCGCTTGCGTGCTTCTCACTGTGATTTTCACAGTGAGAGCACGCAAGCGTCCATAGGAAAGCATTGTAAATGCTTTCCTATGCGACGGGCTGAATGCGCGCGCAGCTCTTGCCGCGCGTGCGCATTCAGTCCAGGAGGAGGAGAAGAGGAGGAGAGCAAGCAGAGAGCTCCCCGCCCAGCGCTGGAAAAAGGTAAGTTTTTAACCCTTTCCCCTTTCCAGAGCCGGGCGGGAGGGGGACCCTGAGGGTGGGGGCACCCTCAGGGCACTATAGTGCCAGGAAAACGAATATGTTTTCCTGGCACTATAGTGGTCCTTTAATGAAGAGGTCTGAGTGCCTGGTCCTTCTAGTGTTAACCCATTTTTTCATAAACATAGCAGTTTCAGAGAAACTGCTATGTTTATGAATGGGTTAAGCCTTTCCCTATTTCCGCTAGTGGCTGTCTCATTGACAGCCACTAGAGGCGCTTGCGTGCTTCTCACTGTGATTTTCACAGTGAGAGCACGCAAGCGTCCATAGGAAAGCATTATGAATGCTTTCCTATGTGACCGGCTGAATGCGCGCAAAGCTCTTGCCGCGCGTGCGCATTCAGCCGACGGGGAGGAGAAGAGGAGGATCGGAGGAGGAGAGCTACCCGCCCAGCGCTGGAAAAAGGTAAGTTTTAACCCCTTTCCCCCTTCCAGAGCCGGGCAGGAGGAGGACCCTGAGGGTGGGGGCACCCTCAGGGCACTATAGTGCCAGGAAAACGAGTATGTTTTCCTGGCACTATAGTGGTCCTTTAAGATTAAAAAGTTTATTATGTTATAATGATGTTTTAATTGGAGGTAATTCCAGTGGGGTGCAGGTTTCTCCCGCTTTAGGTGGAATCCTAACCTTATTAGTTCTCTTTTCTCTAGTTTCTATACATTGGGCTATGCCCATATTACCGCTGTAAATAATTTTTAGCAACAGTGTAATTATATCTTACACCTGGGGATTTCTCTTAGTATAAATAATGTAATCTTACCTCCTTTTTTAAAAACTATTTATTAGAATATATATGTCCAATAAAATATCTACACATGTTTTAAACTCTCATAGTTGAAGTGGAACATAGTTTGGAGATATGGAGACTGACTGGATTTCACAGTGTTATGAATTAAAGGGACACTATAGTCACCTGAACAACTACAGCTTATTGTATTTGTTCTGGTGAGTATAATCATTGCCTTCAGGCTTTTTGCAATAACAGGCAGTGTTTACATTACAGTCTATTGTTACCCCCATTGGCCACTCCTCAGATGGCTGCTAGAGGTGCTTCCTGGGCAGTGCTGCACAGTGTGCAACACTGCCATTCAGTGTCTCCACCCTCTGCACACTGAACTTTCCTCATATAGATGCATAGATTCAATATATTTCTATGAGGAAATGCTGACTGACCAAGGCCTGTGCTGCCTCTGCCCTGATCCACCTTCTTGACAGTCTCAGCCAATCCAATGCTTTACTATGTGAAAGCAATGTGATTAGCTCAGATCTTGACTTCTGATATTGTAAGCCAAAGAGGCAGACCAGGGGCAGAGCCAGCACCAGCATACTGGAAAAAAGGTAACATTTTACCATATTTAGGGGATAAGAGGGGGCCAGGGAGCTAGATGGTGTTTTTAACACTATAGGGTCAGGAATATATGTGTGTTCCTGACCCTATAGTGTTCCTTTAAGGTAAATGCAACTGTTTTTTGACAAGTAACATCATTCTTTTTAATACTATATTGTAACATTTTGTTTCTTTACAATCAAACGCATACATTTCTGTATTTTACCACTTTAAGATCTTGTAGTTGAAAACTACTGGACCTCTTTTGTCCCAGTTTTCAACTAGTGTGGTCAACTTATGATTTAGTCAAAAGTTGTTTATTATTAATGTATCACCCCACTTTGTATTTTATTTGGGCTTAGATACAACTGCAGATATTTTTAATGGCATTTTGGCATTTAATTAATTATTCATTATGTGCATTTTGGATAGTTTTTTTGGATTTCAGACGGAGAGTGTTTATTGTAATTGCGAAGGTTGACCATGCAAGAGTTAAAATTTAAGATGCGTTAAGCTTTATCGTGGATGTATTGCATGGTGAAATGCTTGCTGCCCCCATTCCTCCGAGCTCACCACCCACCATTCCGCTGAGCTGGCCTCCAACTCTCCGTATTCTACAGAGCCGGTTGGGCTGCCACTGGACCAGACACCCCCCTCCTCCTCCTCTCTCCAGTCACATACAGATCTCTGTGTGCCAGTAAGAGAACTGTAACTACTTCCACCAGGCGCTGAGGCTGCACAAGGGAATGGGGGGGGGGGAGGGGAGCAACCGGCTTCGTAGAATAGGGAGAGTTGGAGGCCAGCTCAGCGGAATGGTGGGTGATGAGCTCGGAGGAATGGGGGCAGCAAGCAGAGCAGTCTTTACCTTATGCCCTGCCAGCTTGCCAATCCACTGCGTGGCCTTAAGAAAATACAGCTCCCTTTACTTCCTCCCGGTACACCGGCACACAGAGAGCTGCCCAGGGATTGAGGATGGAATGGGCCGACAGATCCCAGGCACCAGGACAAAATTCTTAGTCGCCATAGTGACTGGAATTTGTCAAGCCGTGAGGTAAGTGACAGAAGGGGTTTCTAGCTGATTCTGCACCATGGGTGCGAGGGAGCAGGCACTATAGTTTCCCTTTAACCATATTCTATGTTGCATCACTCACCTCTATCACAGATATTAAAGTCAATTGAGCAAGCTGTATTATATTCAATAATTATCAGATATTGTATGGAACAGTTGAACCAAACCGCATTCCACATAAAACGCACCCACACTGGAATATGCAGTTATTGTAGTACATAAATGCCTGACTGTGTAAGGAAAATATACAACTATATGCAGCAGGCACGCAATAATATAATTTCTGGATCTAGGCAGCTAGTATAAGGCATCATATACTTGTGTTTTGAACTTGTCATACTGTAAGAAGCACCTTAATTAGGTGGAAGGGTTAAAACACTTGTGTCCTCTGGACTCTTGGGTCACCAGCTTCCTTTCTATGCCAACTCAGTTTACCTTTTCCTGCTGGAGTACTAGAAGCGGCTGCAATTCCAGAATACAATAGTGAATGGATTCATAACACAAAATTATTACAAATGGGGGAAGGCAATAAATTTTCCAAAAATGGATTTATATTGCATTGTAATGTTGGAAAGAAAGCCACTTGTCACATGTATTTCCGGAGCAACTACTTGCAGGATACAAAAGAACATGTTTCCAAACTGAGAAAGTTAATTGCCTTGTTTTGTGCTTTAGATTTGCTGCAGATCCTGTCCATGTAAGGTTGAAGATGTAAAAGCCCAACATATCCCATCTGGTCCTTGATACAATATAACCACTATTTTACCCATTGTAATTTTATCTGATTGGCTTCAATCTGGATTTGAATGCATTCATAAAATTTTTATTTTATTTACATACATTGGTTCTTTTTTTCTTTTTTTAATCCATGCACTGTACAAAAGAGAATTTTCATGTTGCAAGATTGGTCATATAAAATGTTTATTGCCAATTAGCAATATATCAGCTATAAAAGAGGTCTTAATTAGCCATTTGATATGTACAATTTCAAAGCAACTATTGTAGCAGAGATGCCAAATATTAGTGACAGAATTCCAGGTACATTGGTCATAAAAGCTAAAAAAAGTATTATGGAAACGGTCTCAAAAATAATGACAACATACCACGCAAGGACAATCAGGACCATCAAAAAGGAGCAGTGGTCTCAAATTAAAGTTCACCAACAGAGATCCTGGTTGATGAACTCCATAACAACAAAAAAGAGAAAAATAGCAAAATGAATAGAATTGAAACAGTACATTTATGTCCCAATACCAACAGAAAATGTACACCAAAAACAAAAACACACAAATCATGGAACCCGAAGTAATTTAAAACAATGTTTTCTTTTTTCCTACATTTGAATGTGATTTAGACATATATTGTTGAGTGTTTCCATTATTTTGTCCATTTCTTGTATATTTTTTTTATCCACACGATCAGGTTTAAAATTACTAAACTGAGAGTTGTGGATAAGGAATTGCAAATTTTAGGCCAAAACAGTCAGAATTTTTTTTTTCTCAAAATAAGCAATATTTTACAAAAACGTTTAGTTTGTTATTAAAATCCTGGTTTAGAGAATAAACCACATAATCAGCTTTACTAGATGAATATGTCATTAAGGAATGATAAAATGTTTAAAAATGAATCCTGCTTGGACCGACATTTAACCTATCTCTTCCAAGCACACTGTTCCTGAATCGAACCCCCCCCACCTCCCCAAAAGGCACTATATAAAATATTTTACGTAACAATTCTGATAAATTAAATTTGTTCAGACTTAGCAGTCATCAGATCTATAGAACATTTTTGTTTTCCCTTTACAAATTTTGCAAAATATCTGCACAGACAGCAAAAAAATAAAATTTATTTGCTGTAAATTTAAAGCAAAACCACAATATCAAGTAAAAAAAAAAAAAAAAAGTTTACACTTCCTTCTGTGTATATATGAATAAGATATCAGTTGTTCTGAGCCCAAATTCCTTTCATCCTAATTATATTTGTTTAAGGAAGCCTGTATGAGTGTTAGATTCTTTATAAATCCTTTTTCACCGACAGACATCGTGCAACAATCCAGAGGCCTTAATGGGTACAGGACACAGCTTTACAGAGTATACATTGTAACCTATGAACTGTGATATACAAATTAATATTAAATGCAGATAAGATATTTATTTCAATATTTAGCCATCTTACTGCACCAATTATCTGTTAGCACAATGGTCCTAATTCACTCAACGTAGACAATTTTCTTAAATATAAGAAATACAATTATATATGTTTTCAAAATGAAAGATGCTGCATAAAGCACAAATATCGTGGAGCCAAAAGTACTTTTGAAGAAAAATAGGTTAATAGCTGAGAGGATGGTGAATGCATGCTTTCAGCACACAATGCCCCTTATGTTGAAAGGGCTTGGCGCTTTAAGTTGCTCTGTCAGAACAGAGTTCTGGGCAACCAGTGAGATCCTCCATCATTTTCCCTACAGCCGTCACTGGTGACGGCTGGGGAAAATGAGAAGCTTAACAAAAAGGTAGCTCTGCCTTTATGTCAAGCGGAGGAAAGATATGGAGACAAATCCTACTTTGTCTCATAGTATCTTTTGACTGGGCTGGAATTTCAGTGAAATCAGTCAATCTGAATATTTAATAAAGATGAGATTATGAAATTAAGTTTTTTTTATATGAGGTGGCAGAACCACTAAGTCCTGACATCTTTTATTTACTTGCATTGAAGTCATTAAATTACATTTCGGCTTCTTTTTGTCAAATGCTTATACATATTTAAAATACCCGAGTTTACAGTCAGGTGGTTCACCTTTGCTCCAAAGCTGCCATTATCAAGGATTATCTGCCCACTTTGTAAATAAATGAAAAGAAACATTTGTATTTAAATGTTATTTATTTTTATACAAAAAGTACAATCACTTTTCCACTACAGGGAGAGCAAAATAAGTTTTGATCCTGCAATCACGAACTATAATATTTAAGCAACTGCTCGTCTGTGGGCTTTAAGATTTTCTTTTCAGACATATTCACCACCCATCCTGGAGCTAGCCCAAAGAATATCTGGCGAGGGTCCTTGCGCGTGCAAAGCATCTGATATAGTTCATCTTTGGTAATGTCAGGGAGAATATAGCCATATTTCTTAGCGAGCAGCTTCCTAGATTCCAAAACTTTTACTGGATCTGCCAGATACCCACGATTTTCAGCATTTGTATAATACTTCACCAAGTCCTCTGGGGGCAGCATCCTTTTAGGTATTGGCTTCCCACGTATGAAAAATGGAACAGGTTTGCAAAGTACCTCTGCAAATTGAAGTAATATAAAGTTAGTCAAATAGCTGAGAGTAAAATAGTAATATTTTAATCAATTACCCAACCAATTGACTGGGTCACCAGTAGATATGTATGTCTCTCACTGCAAATACAGACTGTTGAGAAAAATTCAGCTCTAAGAAAATACATCAAGTCTAACCCAAAAACTATATAGATTAACGGATCTGGACCAGGACAGTTAATACATGCTACATGTATAGATCCCCGCACATGGGATTATTGTGAAATATGGAAACTGGACAAAAACATTATGCGCACGGCCTATATCTACTTTCCAGATCACCTTTTTATTACAAAAGTGAATGAAATAGACACTTCACTCATTGTTTAGCAAACACCAATTGATCACACTTACCAAGGCTCATTGGGTCATAAAAGCACGTAGTTATGACACCGCCATTTTTCTCTATTGCTGCAATAGCCAGTTCAGAAGCCCACTGAACTTCAATATTAATTTTAGCTGAAAAAGTATCTACTCCCTAAGAGAAAAAAAAGAAAAAAAAAGTTACAATTCAGCATTAGTAATTTTTAAAGCTTTCTAACTTATTATTTGGAATCACCCAACATTCTCAATCACAATCCAAAACCAGAAAACATTTGTCTTAAAACTAGACAACTCATGAGAGCACTGTGATTAAGGCCTCTGCGCAAGCCAAATTGTCGTTGGCATGTTACGGTTTTTCCTGCCGAGTGAAAAAAATAAATAAAAATAAAAATTAGACAACTCATATTGGGAGAGGGGGTTACTTTGAACCCAAAGTGTTCCCTTAAAGGTCCAAACCAATGAGCTCAGGAGAGATAATGAGAAATGAGGTAGTGGAAGCAGGGAGCGGCGCCAGACAGGAAAGGATGTCAGTATTCTGAAAAGCGTTTAGAAGCTCTGTTGAAGGGCAGTGAAAAAAATAACTTTTTGATAAGTATTCAGCTAAAGGATAAAGTTTGACTAATACTTATAAATAGGCAACAGGTTCACTTTAAAACTGGTAACTTCTATCTGCAGACAAGTGGCAGCCTAGCAGTTAGAAACACCCCTATAAAATGAGTAAGGTCTAGCATTATGTTCATTTTATTTATTTTTTTAACCCCTGATAGTTTCATAGTTTCTGCAAACACTGTTCCAACACTTTGATGAGATTATAATTTAATGTTACAGTTAAATAGTGAGGAAGTTAAATTATTAAATGTGAAAAGTGCCAACCGGGGCGTCAATCTAATTGTTTTACATAAATTTATCAAATTAGCTTAATCTGTTAAAAACTTTTCCAATGGATTTATCTACTGTTAAAGTATATGGTAAACAATCTAGCAGTCAGAAGAACAGCTTTAGAATGAATATATTAAAACAAAATCAGCAACATTTATTATCTTACATGTAACACTGCTGTTGTAAGAGTGTCTGCTGCAACCTACTGGCCACTTGTGTAATAACACTTATTTTAGAGTTCAAAGAAATACAAAACACTTGGGCCACAGTCCTTTTAAACTGATTGAAAACATAAGATTCTGCCTTTTTGATTCTTTGTTTGCACAAGTATTATTCACTTAGTGCTTGAAATCATGTAATTAAGGTGATCACAAACTGGTGAAAGTCTCAAAATTTCAAGTCCCATAAGTTGCGCGCCACTGCCAGTCTGAAAGGGGTCAGGCACGCTCTCTTGTGAACTATTACTCACCAGGGCTGAATTTTCCCTTGCCAAAGGTTAATGGAGAATGGAGAATTTGAGCCCTGGGCTAGTGCAACTCATTTCAAGAAGAGCGGTGTGACATTGATACAGCTTCAAGAGGAACCAAGTAATAAGCACCACACCAGAAGACAGTGTCTAGTTTTACTCAATAATTGATTCAGATCCTGTTCTATGAACAAGTGCAGCCTATAACATTGAGGCTGAGCCTCCTATATATTCCCCACTTTAAAATAAAAGCAGTTTCAGTTGACAAAGAACTACTATAAAGTAAAAATCCAACAAATGGAGTCACTGGAATACTATGATTGCGCTAAATACAAAGACACAGAGCTCTGCATATATGAAGACTGCCTGGCTGTGTGCTGTACATGCACAGAGTGGAGCTTCCAAAAAGGGACACTTTAAGCACCATAACCTTTGCTACTTGCACAGGTAATGGAGGTAAGGAGGTCTCTCCACACCATTTCTAACAAAGTTGCTAAGTGACTGTTGTTCAAAGGTTTGGAAAAGAACACATGCAACAAAGGGGGGGAGGGGGGGGGAAAGATATGTGAGAAATCTCTTACCTCTTCCACCAATTGGACACCATAGTCCCTCTTTAAAGGCTGAATTCTGACTCCTCTCGCATTGACCAATTGTGTTAAATCAATTGGTTGTGTAGGATCTACCCTTCCCAGATCAATAAGGTACTGGAGACGGTTCAGACTAAGAGGATGATACTGGCGACGGAAGCTGTAGAATAGTAATTCAATTGTTATTAAAAATATATGTTTTTTTTTTTATAATTCTTTATTTTTGCGTGCACAAGGTTTAGACATGTTGCATCGTATGCATCGTTTGAGTAGGTAACAGGTTTAAACATTGGTTAGATAATGCATTTGATCGATTTAGCACAATTTTTCTTTAAGTTCAACATGCATAACATCCTAGGTAGAGGTTGGGTCGTATAGGGGTTTAGTCGTGTTACTCGTCTGCGGGTGCAGTACCTAGGTCATGGGTTGGTGTCGAAGACTTGACCCTAATGGTGTTAGGAAGTATGTGTGGAGATGCGGAATGGTGCTAGGGTCTGTGTGGGTGCATTAGGTTTAGTTTCGTCGGTAAAGTAGTCTGGTGAGTGGTACACGTGTTCTGAAGTGGCTTGGTCGTCTAGTTCCGCTGGGGACCACTCGTGAGGGGCGGTAGCCCTAACCTAGGGGCTGTCGGGGGGGGGTAGGTTTTGGCTTAGGCTATAGCTTATGGTCTGTTAATGCGGCAGCGTGCCAGCGTCCTCGTCAGCTAAGTCATCTAGCTAGCGGTAAACAGGTAAGAACTTCAACATCAGAAAATGTATTGCGCGGAGGGTGGGGGAAATACAGGTTGTGGTAAACAAGACATATGGATATCGCCGTTGAGCGGGCAGGGTTAAGAGACCTCTCTCCCCCTGTCCGTCAGGTGGCTTGTGTGTCCATTCTCTGTCTTCTCGGCACAAACGTATCTGAGGTATCTGGATTCCAGACATGGGGAGTGCCCAGGTTGGGCAAGTTGTGCAGGCCCAATTTTGTGAGTAGTGTAGGGGCCTCAGTCCCTGAGGTGATTTTATGGGTGGTCCCCTGGTGGGTGATGAGCAGAGAGCGGGGGTTCCCCCATCTGTATGGTATCCCCGCTGTACGCAGATGGCCGGTGAGTTCAGTAAGCGACTTTCTCCACTGGAGGGTGGCCTTGGATAAGTCCTGATAAAAGGTCAGTTGGGTTTCCTCGAATTCAAGCGGGGTCTTACCCCTGATTGCGCTCATGATGTGCCCCTTGTCTTGCGGTAGGGCGCAACGGACAATGACATCTCCGGCTAGCGTTGCGGCGGCTCTAGGAGGCGTGGGTAGGCGGTAAATCCCTGCAAAGGCGAGTTTCTTTGTTATTGCGGGAGGGAGTAATGATTGTGTGAGTCGCCTCACGTAATGCGGTAGGTCTTCTTTGCTCACTGATGCCGGGATGCCTCTGATTTTGATGTGGTTGCGCCGGTTTTTGTCCTCCTGCGTCGCCAGTTGTATTGCTAAGCGTTGCTGGTCTTGTTGTAGTTGGTGTAGCGAATCTTGTAGCGTAGAGACTTCTCCCTGTATTGTTTTGACTTGGTTTTCAGTAGTGGTCACTTTTTCTGTGATCTGTTGCATGCTCGTTTTGAGCGCTGGTAGGTCTGCTGCCAGCAGGTATTGTATATCCTGCAGCATAGTTTGCAACTGCTGCAGGTCCTGCTTTGTGGCTGGGTCTGTTGATCCCTGTGGGGGTATGGGTTTGGTGGTTGTGGTCTGTGTGAGCTGTGGAGATCTCTGTGTGTCCCCTTGAGTGGTTTGTGCAGGTGGGGTGTCTGCCTGTGGGGGGTCTGGGCCCTGGTCGGACGCCATTTTGGCTGGGGTTTGTTTCTGCAGCAATGCCCCTATGTCAGGCTGTGCAGTAACAGTACCTTGGTGTGGTCGTTGTGATCTGCGCCCCATCTCCTCTTGGGATTGGTCGGGGTCCTGTAGATGGACTTCGCTTGGGTCTCCCAGGCTCTCTCCGCCCCACAAGTACTCCAGGCCGCTATTTGATCCCCTGCTGATTTTAAACATTTGCCCACTGACAAAAAAGGATCAGTCTATAATTTTAATGGTAGGTGTATTTTAAACAGTGAGAGACAGAATAACAAAAAAAAAAAAAAAAAAAAAAAAAAAAAAAAAAAAAAAAAAAGTATCCAGAAAAACGCATGTCAAAAAAGTTATAAATTGATTTGCATGTCAATGAGTGAAATAAGTATTTGACCCCTACCACTTAGTACTTGGTGGCAAAATCCTTATTGGCAATAACAGAGGTCAGACATTTCTTGTAATTAGCCACCAGGTTTGCACACATCTCAGAAAGGATTTTGTCCCACTCCTCTTTGCAGATCCTCTCCAATTCATTAAGGTTTTGAGGCTGACGTTTGGTCCTTCCACAGATTTTCTATGGGATTAAGGTCTGGAACATGGCTAGGCCACTCCAGGACCTTAATGTGCTTCTTCTTGAGCCACTCTTTTGTTGCCTTGGCTGTGTGTTTTGGGTCATTGTCATGCTGGAATACTCATCCACGACCCATTTTCAATGCCATGGCTGAGGGAAGGAGGTTCTCCCCCAAGATTGGACGGTACATGGCCCCGTCCATCGTCCCTTTGATGCAGTGCAGTTGTCCTGTCCCCTTAGCAGAAAAACACCCCCAAAGCATAATGTGTCCACCTCCATGTTTGACGGTGGGAATGGTGTTCTTGGGTCATAGGCAGCAGTCCTCCTCCTCCAAACACGGCGAGTTGATGCCAAAAAGCTTGATTTGTCTCATCTGACCACAACACTTTCAACCAGTTCTCCTCTGAATCATTCAGATGTTCATTGGCAAACTTCAGATGGGCCTGTACATGTGCTTTCTTGGGCGGGGGGACCTTGCGTGCGCTGCAGGATTTCAGTCCTTCACAGCGTTGTGTGTTACCAATTGTTTCCTTGGTGACTATGGTCCCAGCTGCCTTGATATCATTAATCAGATCCTCCTGTGTAGTTCTGGCCTGATTCATCACCATTCTCCTGATCATTGAAACTCCACGAGGTGAGATCTTGCATTAAGCACCAGACCGAGGGAGACTGACAGTTATTTTGTGTTTCTTCCATTTGTGAATAATCACACCAACTGTTGTCACCTTCTCATCAAGCTGCGTGGCGATGGTCCTGTAGCCCATTCCAGCCTTGTGTAGGTCTACAATCTTGTCCCTGACATAATTGGACAGCTCTTTGGTCTTGGCCACGGTGGAGAGTTTGGATTCTGATTGATTGCTTCTGTGGACAAGTGTCTTTTATACAGGTAACGAGCTGAGATTAGGAGCACTCTCTTAAAGGGAGTGCTTCTAATCTCAGCTCATTACCTGTATAAAAAACACCTGGGAACCAGAAATCTTGCTGATTGAAAGGGGATCAAATACTTATTTCACTCATTGACATGCAAATCAATTTATAAAACTTTTTTTGACATGCGTTTTTCTGGATTTTTTTGTTATTCTGTCTCTTACTGTTAAAATACACCTACCAATAAAATTATATAGACTGATCATTTGTCAGTGGACAAACGTTCAAAATCAGCAGTGATCATATACTTTTTTCCCCTCACTGTATACAGTCCTAAGGTATGATTTTTTTTTTTACCATATATTCTGGGGGTGCTGGTCTCCGTACCAAAGCTTCATATCCATCTCATCAAGATCGATAATTTCAGACATCCCAATGTTTACCCATAGGGAAACACTGGGAGACAAGTGTGCATGCGCAGCAAAACGCTGCGCCAAGCCAATAAAATGGTCTATTCAAGAATTTGACTGAATAGCTGGGTTTAACTAGGCTATCAGGGAGGAAGCGGCTCAAGCAGCACTAGATTCATGTTAATTCTGCAATGTAAACATTGCCATTCCTGCAAAACGGCAATGTTTTCCGTTGCAGGGTTAGAAAGGCAGTGGCGTCACACCCAGGACATGTCATTGAGATTCCCTTTAGTAAACAGGTGCCCTCATTGAGCAACGTGTAATGGTGCTGCATTCCTAAAAGCGGAGTTACTAAAGCGCCTTTCAAAAATGCAGTTTTCCATATTGCTGCTGGGGTTAGGAAAGTTAGTATGCAACATTAGCTGCAGTTAACCTTCACACATTCCTTAACCCTAATATGTTGTCGAATGTAATGCACGGTCAGCCAAGTGAAACCTAGCTGAGAGTGATGGGCTAACATACAAGTTTGTTTTTTTTGTTTATTTATTATGTGCCTCTGCTCATGCAACATAACTGAGGCAAAACACAAGTTCTGAGTATATGCACCATCTTTCGGTATTGTGGGAGGATAGTGGCAGTGAACAGAGGAGAAAGGATGCAGTGGATCAACAATGCAAGTAACCCACAGTATTTCAATTATTTTATTTTTGTGCATATGGTAGCATGAATCAACTTGACACACAGATAGATGAAGAGACACCATGAAAAAAGATGAATACTGCTTAGCAGGTTAGAGTATTGTCAGGAGAGCAGTTTAGGATAACAAGGCAAATATGGCTGAAACAAGCCTGGCAATATCATCCACCAAAATATGTGGACCACAAGGATTATCACCTTCCACTTAGTGGAATTGTATAAATTGTTGAATATATAGAATTATGAATATCTATACAAGAATTTTAAACAGTCAAAGAGCGTAGCTGAGTACAGCATGGACATATAAGTTATGACATGCCATGATAAACTGCACAGACTAAGCACTATAACAAAGAGCTGTTGTGGTTATGGTGCCAGGAGTAGTAATGGATACTATAGCTCAGGGCTCGACAAATCCCAGACGCCAGGTCCCCATGGCAACCAGGAATTTTGTCCTGGCACTTGGGATTTCGGAGCCCATTCTTCTGAGGCGGGCGGGTAGCAGGCTGCATGTATTGTAGATAGACCACGATGGAGGGAGCTGTGATCTCCATGTTCTGCTGCCCCGCACGCCGCTTAGTGATGCATGCGAGGGAGCAAAGCAATGAGATCACAGCTCCCTCCATCGCGGTCTGCCTAGTACACGCAGCCGGCCACTTCCACTCTTCCCCAGGGAATGTGGATCCACCCAGCCTCCCTAAGGTAGGGAGGCTGGGTGGAATAAAACTGAAGTAAGCCGTATAATAATTTGTGCGTGTATGTGCCTCACAATGGGTCTATGTGTGTGTATGTTTAGATGACCAGCCTGCTACGACACAAGTGAATGGTGTTTTTTTACTCACTTTTTTTTTTAACCTAAAATAAGAACATGGACACGTATTGAAGCGAAAGAGAGGAAGTATAAATACTGTATTTACCTGTGACCTTCATTGAAAGTGTATTTAGGAATCCTCAAATAAAAAGGTGTTTGTCCTCCTTCAAAGCCTAAACGCGGCCTGTTTCCCCGTTGTCTCTCTCCTTTATGACCTCGGCCGCATTTTCGACCACCATGAATACCTCGTCCTCTTCTTCTCTCCTAAAATAAATAAATAAAATAATAATATAATTTTTGATATAGAAGTTTGCCATATACACTTGTAGTTTGTGTTTTAGAAAAGGAATCTATTCTTACTTTACTATTCATACCTATGAGCAAAAACAAATTTTTTGATAGGGGAGCTGGGCTTATGGATATTTGTGGCTCCCTTGATAGTCACTGCCACACAATTTACACCTAAAACTACACATCTTTTTCACTGGAGTATTTACATTGAACAACAGAGTGACATTGTATTTTACATGCATTATAAAAACAATACATAAAAAGAAATAAAAATAAAAAAAATTCCAAAATTTTCTGTATATACTCAGTCTGATGACAAGATCAAGAATGTGCTTTATTTTCTTTAACTTAAGAATTATGCAGTGTTTGCAGTACACAATTTTGCATGGGTCACAGTGAAGAAAGCTGTGCCTAGCTTGAAAATATTTACAAGCACATACAGGACTTCACTACAGTAAGAATTGTCTTGAAATTAGAATTCAAAGCAAATTTGATGAAAGGCCAAAAGTAGCTGAACTGGAAGCATAACCAAATTGGAGATGTAATCAATTCAGCTATTTGAACTTTAAAATGTTACTCTGAGTGGTCATGGTGCCTTGAGTCGGTATATGCATCAATTTGCTTTGAAACACTGCACCGAGATTAACCCCTTCGCTGCCAGAGCTGTAACACTACCTCCAGCAGTGTCATTAGTCACCGGCTGGAAAATGGCAATTTTGTAGTGCCTATGGCATCATACCCACACCTATGCCCTCCTAGGGTGGGCGAGTGAACTTCGACAAGAAGGATCAAGTGGAGGGAGAACTTGGGAAAGGATGATAGTTTGTTTAAAGGGACACTATCTGCATCCAGACCACTCTAGCTCATTGAAGTGGTTTGGGTGCAATGTCCCTGTCCCACTTAGTCCTGCAATGTTTACAAGACATTAGGTGCCCCCGTCAGATGATGCAGATTTCCGGCCCAGCTCCAAGAGAGATTGGCGCTGAAATTGAGCAAATAACTAAAGTGTTTTATATTTTTTTAACACTTACCTACTGCTAAGTGTGGCCGCAAAGAATTGTATTCCTAACACTATGGTATCTCTTTAAGCTTTTATTTTTTTTTTACTTTTGTTTAACTTTTTTTGGATGGGGGGGGGGGGGAAATCGGACACACCAGCACAGAAGGGGATGCAAGAAACAGGTTTATAAAATAACTATTTGGATTGGAGTAACCTTAGGGACATTTTTATTATGTGACATTTCTTTACCAATTAACCAATCCATAGAATGCCAGTGATAAATACGGCATATAATATAAATACTACAAATGTATTTAAAATCAAGTAAGCCTCACAAAATTACAGTATAGAAAAATGATATGCAACTCAGCGCTACGGAATTTGCTGGCACTCTATAAATAATAATAATAATAAATTTACAGCACAGTCTTGAATTCCAAAACATATAAATGCATGTTTTTATGTCTAATTTACTTATCTACGTTACAAAGAAAAACAAAACAAAACTAAGAAACCCATAAAAACAGAGAAGTCACCTTACCCATCAAGATACATTGATATTCCCAAACATGTACATGTGACATTGAATTAAAGTCATCACAGAGCTCCTTGAAATACAATATTTGTCAATGTGTCAGTATGAGGTCTTACTCTCTGCCTGGCTCCAGGGTTAGGTCTGAGGTTGGCTAGTGTAACCCGGGGAAGGGCTTTCAGTAGATCCCCTGCAGCCCGTCCGCCGCCGCTGCTCCCGGAGGCCGCCATGTCTGTGATATGAAGGGCAGTGACAGAAGTCGGAAGCCAAGCGGGCCGCCCCCTCATTCGCGCTTTACGGTCACTGCTAGTGCCACAGTCGACATCTTGGTAATGGGCAAATCTGTAAATTATTATTTTTATTTATGTGAACGGAGTCTTCCAATCGCAGGGAGCCCGCAAATATGGTTCGCAGGTGGGTGGGCGGGCTGTACTAGGATTGTAGGTCAGAGGAACGCGGGGTATGAACATACACACATAAAGTGACTTCACTGTCAATACTATTTTATCTCCCAATTGGCGATTTTAACAAGCAGTATTACATTTTATGGTTTAACTCACCTCTGTAATCACACAATGCAAACTCTATAAACAAAATAACTTATCAATGCATGTATATAGAATGTATGTGCTGCATGTAAACATAATGTATATGCTGCGTGTATATAGAATGTATGTGCTGCATGTAAACAATGTATATGCTGCATGTATATAGAATGTATGTGCTGCATGTATATAGAATTTTGTTCTGCATGTATACATAATGTATATGCTGCATGTATACATAATGTATATGCTGCATGTATATAGAATGTATGTGCTTCATGTATATAGAATGTGCTGCATGTATACATAATGTATATGCTGCATGTATATAGAATGTATGTGCTGCATTTATACTGAGTGTATGTGCTGCATGTATACATAATGTATATACTGCGTGTATATAGAATGTATGTGTGGCATGTGTACCTTATATAATGGGTATAATGTATATATAATATGTGTTCAGGACGTTGAATTTTACCTTTGTTTTAAATGTTATTTCATTCACCTGCCGAACAAACAATCTAACAACTAGACCACCCATATGCGGAGTGTGCCACTCATTAACCTCTGTCACCTCATTAACACTCCTAAACCACAAACATTCTAAATGGTTGGCTGAGTTGTCGCTGTTCGGTATACGAACACGTGGCGGCGGCCATCTTTAGCCGTGAACACACAGAGCGGTGTTTGGTCGTCGAGTGCATGGAACCCAAATCGGACACTCGACGGTGCGAACACCGCTAGAACGTCCCTTCCATCGACGTTCAGTTAAACGTATGGGAATTAAAAGGCGTTCGTGGGAGCAAGTTCCCAAACGAGAGACATAGACTAAACCTATCCACGAACCGCTACGTTTGGTAGTCTGACTGTATTGAGTCTTCCAGAAAGAGACCAAGTGCACATCCTGATTTCATGGAACTCTTTTGGGCAGGAGCCCTGTGTGCAGTCGGTCAAAATATGACCTCTGTGGAAATCCCGATCCCCTAAACCAATCTGGGTGATTTTTGGATATGTTGGTCACCCAGATCGAGGTTATCATGGGATGTAACTTTTGTGGGGTTTCCATGGATTTTGGGGGTACTTTCAGGGTACTGCTAAACTGTATGTTTTCTGTGTCTGGAGATAATTGAGTTTAACCCCTTCAGGACGGATGACGGACGAGGTCCGTCATCCTGGGGATGCCCTTAACGACGGGTGACGGACCTCGTCCGTCACGCGGTAAAATTAACCCCGCGATCGCCGCAGTGCCGGCGATCGCGGGGTTAACGCTGTTGCTGGGTGCCTCCGAGTCAGGGGCAGACCAGCAACAGCAAATCGCAATGTCCCAGCACATGTGATCGCTGTGACAGCCAGTCACAGCGGTCACAATGCTGCTGGGACATCTGATCCGCCTCCCTCCACCTCTTGTGGGTTTGTGAAGTGGAAAGAGACGATCGGTGCTACATTGTGTCCCTGAGGAATAGCTAAGGTGTAATAAAAATTAACTATCCCTTTCCCCTGTCAAAAAAAAAAAATTAACCCTTTCCCTGCTGCTTGATCACTGCTAGCAGTGATCAATATACAGGTCACAGTACTTTACTGTGATCTATTTTTTTTTTACACTTAAGGGTTAAATTTTATTTATTTTTTGTAACCCTAAGGGGTTCAATTTTATTATTTTATTTTATTAATTTGTGATTTAGTTAGTTGGGTGGGTGGAATTTAGTGTTAATTGGGGAATTTAGTTAGGGGTAAAAAAAAAAAAAAAGTTTAGTTATTTAGTTAAAGTTTTCTTGTTTCTGTGTTAACTGTATTAACAATGTTGCGAAAGTATAGCGCAGAGGAGGCTTATGCCCTGTTAGCCGCTGACTCAGAGGCGACCGACACTGCCTCAGAGAGTGACGCAGGGAGTGACGCAGGGAGTGACGCAGGGACAGGGACTATGTGCCAGATTCTGCAGTAACATCAGAGGAAATCGCTGATTCCCCTAATGTTCAATATGGCACAGATGACTGGGTACCCCCTAATCATTTTTCGCCAGACATCCCAGTGTTCACTGCCAATCCTGGCATACAGGCTGACCTGTCTGGCTATAATGCGCTGGATTGTATGGAGCTGTTTTTGGGGGATGATTTTTTTGGGGAGGTAGTTACCCAGACAAATCTGTATGCGGAGCAATATCTTGCACGCAACCAAGACTCCCGAATCGCCAGGACAGAGAGATGGTACCCAACCAGTGTGCCAGAAATTAAACAATTCTGGGCACTGACAATGTTAATGGGGATAGTTAAAAAGCCCACAATTAGAATGTATTGGACTAAAAATCCTATTTTTAATACCCCCATTTTTTCCCAGACAATGCATAGGGAGCGATATGAGGACATACTGCGTTTTATGCACTTTAATGACAATATGAAGTGCCCCCCAAAAGGTCATCCACAGTATGACATTCTTTATAAAATACGCCCCCTAATTTCCCACTTAAATGAAAAATTTGCCACTATTTACACCCCCAAAAAACACATTTCAATTGATGAGTCCCTCATGAAATATAAGGGAAGACTGGGATTTAGACAATATATCCCATCCAAAAGATCCCGGTATGGGATCAAATTTTATAAATTATGTGAAAGTGGCAGTGGCTATGTATACACCTTTCGTGTATACGAAGGAAGGGATAGCCACATTGATCCCCCAGGTTGCCCAGATATAATAGGGACAAGTGGGAAAATTGTCTGGGATTTAATAATGCCCTTACTTAACTATGGTTATCACTTATATATTGATAACTTTTATAACAGCATCCCACTCTTACAAATGCTGTACTGTTTTGAGACCGTGGCCTGTGGCACTATCAGGAAGAGTCGCACAGGTTTCCCAAAGGCTCTAGCAGAAAAAAAATTAAAAAAGGGGGAAACAGCAGCTCTCTGCCAGAATGAACTGCTGGCACTCAAGTACCGCGATAAAAAGGAGGTTTTCATCCTAACTACCATCCACGGGGAAAACACTCGCAGGGTCGCAGTTCGTGGCAGAGAGGAATATAAACGGGTGCCAGTCTGCATACAGCAATATAATCGACATATGGGGGGAGTTGATCTGTCCGATCAACTAATGCAGCCGTATCTAATCATGCGCAAAACCAGGGCATGGTATAAAAAAGTGGGCATATATATAATGCAGACAGCAGTCCACAATGCCTTTATTATTTTTAAAAAGGCAAATGCTCAGCTGAAATGCACATTCCTTTCATTTCAATTTCAGCTAATTTCTGGGTTACTTGAGTGCCACAGAGGGGGACCATCAGTCGAGCTTAGTAGAAGAATGGAGGTAGGTCACTTCTGCTTCAAGATTCCATCAACCCCCAGAAAGAAAAACCCCCAGAAAAGATGCAGGGTGTGTTACAAGAGGGGCGTAAGAGTTGAGACTAGCTATTACTGCCCTGATTGCCCCTCTCAGCCCGGCCTATGTATTGGCCACTGTTTTAAAGTTTTCCACACCCAGGCCGAATAAGCAGACCAGTTTTGGGGTCTGAATTTAGTCAACTGTCTGGTTACCAAATCTTGGCTTTGTCTCCCGTTTATCCTGTCTTCTCTGATCCTTGACCTCGGCTTGTCCTATCGTTGTTCCATTTCTCTTTACCCCTTTGACCTCGGCTTGTACCTTGACTATTCTCTGCTTGTATAGCCCGGCCATTCTAAGGACCGGTATTACAAGTGTCTCTCTCTGTGTTCTCTCTCTTTTTAGTCTGTCTGTGTTTTGGAATCCGTGACAGCGTTGCCCGTGACACAGATCACTGGGTACTACCCCCAGATAGGATTAAGCCAACTATTCCCCCTTTTCACAGCAAATAGTATGCACTTGTTCATAATTTGAATTGATGAGCTGCTTATACTTAAAAATATATGTGGTCTTTGAGAGGTAATTTGCAGTCCTGGGCTGCTAAAATAACACTTTGGCCCAGCATCCACTTTTGAAAAATATGAAAGTGATGTGTCTCCAAGGTGCCCCTTCAACATCCACATATCCCTGAAAAAGGTACACATGGGGGTATTGCTGCACTAAGAGGACATAGCTGAGCAACATTTTAGGTGTTCTACTGCCATAGCACACATAAGGATTACAAAATATACAGTAACAACTCCAAGTGTGTGTCAAAAAGGCAGAAAAAATGCTCATTGTAACTAGACTTGGTACAAACTAACAAAAAAATGATCCAACGCTAAGGTTTAAAATATATCTTTTGAAATGCCCTGGGGTGTCTACTTTAAAAAATGGTAGGCCTTTGTGGGGTAATTTGAACTTGAAACCTGCTAAGATGCTTGGAAATTGCACATGGGCCGAGCGTCAAAATTCAAAGTTCGGTAAAAACTGATATGGCTTGGTCTCCAATGTGCCCCTTCAACATCCACATATCCCTGAAAAGGGTACACATGGGGGTATTGCAGCATTAAGAGGACATAGCTGAGCAACATATTAGGGGTTCTACTGCCATAGCACACATAAGGATTACAAAATATACAGTAACAACTCCAAGTGTGTGTCAAAAAGGCAGAAAAAATGCTCATTGTAACTAGACTTGATACAAACTAACAAAAAAATGATCCAACGCTAAGGTTTAAAATATGCCTTTTGAAATGCCCTGGGGTGTCTACTTTAAAAAATGGTAGGCCTTTGTGGGGTAATTTGAACTTAAACCCTGCTAAGATGCTTGGAAATTGCACATGGGCCGAGCGTCAAAATTCAAAGTTCGGTAAAAACTGATATGGCTTGGTCTCCAATGTGCCCCTTCAACATCCACATATCCCTG